ATTGGTTCACATATTGATAACAAGCCGATTTGTGAACATGCACTAAGAATAATTGTAAATGTAAGTTCATCAGCTACAATATTTTTCTGTTGCATTTGTTTAAAAAATTTCAAACATTGTTCTGGTCTATTATTCATATTATAGCCATTCATCATCACTCTATAATTGATAGAATCATTGATTTCAATCTGAGTAAAAAAATTTTCTGCATTTGATATTTCACCAAATTTCACCACCATCTGTAAATATGTATTAAGTAAAGCAGAATTTTGATAAAATGTTTTTGACATTTCATCGAACACTCTCTTAGCTAATATTAATGCTGGTTCATTTAGAAGTTTACTACAAATTTTAAAAAGAACAATAAGAATAACTTCGTTTGGTTTGAAGGGCATTTGTTCAAATGTATCTAATGCTTGTCATACATTTTATTTTGTAAATAACCTAACAAGAAATTTATGATAAAAGACGGAATACATTAGGATCAATTACCTTGTATTATAATAGCATAAGTAATAATATATTTTGTCTTGATTTGTGCAAAAACATTTTCTGCATTTGATATATCGCCGAATTTCACCAACATATTTAAAAATGAATTAATTACATGATTAGTATTGGTGGATAGTTTTGGTATTTGATGAAGAAATTTATTCTTAATTTTTATTGCACGTTCATTACGTAATTGAACACATGCATTGAAAAGCATGATTAAATTGACACTATCTGGTTCTATTAACATTTAATCGAATAATTCGAGAATTTTTTCTGGTTTTTTGTTTGCCATGAAGCCTAATAAAAAAAAACAGTTTATATCAACCAATGAACAATACAAGAAAAAAATTATTTTTTTTGTATTTCAAAATCAGCAGTTATTTCTTCTAGAAGTAATAAACGAACATTTGAAAAAAAAAAAGATCATTGCCATGTCTGGAAAATAGGAAAAACGATATAAGGAAGATCCAACTTTTGTTTCAATCTTCTACATTATTTTTGTTTAAATCTCTAATGCAAGGTATTGATATATGGTAAGAATAGCTTTCGCGATAAATATCTATTAAATTTATGTGAAGACTACAAGTGAACAGTATAAATAAGACGATCTGTGGTTGATTAATTTCGTCAAATAAAAAATTGATTTTATTAATTATTCAAAAAGAATTAATAATTACCTTTAAACATAGCACCATATGCACCCGATGTTTTATTTGTATTTGTAGAAAATACATAACAAGCATTATCTTCATCACCACAAGTCACTAAAGATAAAAGAAAATGTAAATATGATAGAACATAAGATCAATTTGACAACGGTATGTGAGAAAAGATCGATACAATTTCAACATAT